TAATATTCAGAACTTGTCAAATACCGCCTGATGAGTTGAAACTCAGTGGCGGTGTGATACATAATTATAATTTGTGATGATTATGAGTTTTAACGTAGCTTTAAAATAGTTTTAGTCATATCGCTTCGATGTCCGCAGTGTGGCAGTTTATAGTGATGTCTAACACTGGGGCATCATGCCACAGACATGTAGCATAATGTCCCACCCAGTCATATTATCCTGACACCAGGTCGACCAGTCCTAACACAAACCTCTTAATGATGAGCGTCAAACGAGGCAGCTGTTATTACCACTTTATAAGTCTTTGGTGTGACTCGACCGGGAATTGAACCCACAACCTCCGGTATCCGATGAGCACGCTCTAACCATTAGGCCATCGGAGCGGTTCGTTATTAGAACTTATTAGAATTTTATTGGAATTTAGTAAAATTTATATCTATCAGAAAGAAATTATTTTCTAAGAAAATTATTTTTGAGAAAGAATTTTGGTTTAAGTTGAAACGTAACATAAAATGCAACTACAAGTTTATTACACAGATATTAATATGAAGTATTTCATTCACTTCACGTGTACTGTTGATGTTTAAATGGATATCTATCACTCTCACCCCACCCTTTATTGACTTGCCTTTGATGGCTGTTACCTCCTCTGCTGCATATTAGCAAGCAGTTTCGGTTAGTTATCACGGGCGTAGCTTGGGGTTATTTTAAAATACATTTCTTGGCTATGTGTCTGCATAAATGGTTTAATTATCTCCGCTAAGATAATATAAGGGTATATAACACATTCACAAATATAAAAGGTTCACACATTTCGGTTAATTATTAAAAGGTCTTGCCTCTGAAGCCCATTCGTTCTAAACCTCACCATTCTGTAATATTCAAAGACATACATGCCTTAAGATACTTTGAAATAGTTGATATTGGTAAATCTGATTGAAAACAATGTGATTTTTAAGTGATTTTGATTTAGAATTGCGTTTGTGAGTCTTAGGAGACGAGAACCGTGAATCAAACCCTGAGAACAAATTTTAGTTATTAATAAAACGAAAGTGAAAGTACAAAGACGATATGTTGTAGACCTCTAACCTTTTAATAGTAAGGCTACTTGAGATTGTCACCAAAATATTGTATCATTCTCAGTATTATATACCAATGGAACAGTGCGAATATTTGGAAATGTAATATAGTATATTAGCTGCGGTCAGCGAGAGACGTAATAATTACAATTGACGAATGGGTGTTGGTAATGTGCAGTGGTTTTACCATCTCTGACTTTGGCATCATTCATTTTTAATTACAGTCACAAGAATGGACAAGACATGGTGAATGTTTGGGATAAGTACCCGAAATATAACCAAGATGAGGCAATACAGAGATGATATTGTGCCATTTGAGAAATATGTAATACAATGAAATTTTCCCAAAACATCGTTTTTAATAGGGCTGAATTGCGAACTAGTATTTTCAATGGGCGCATATTATTCAGCTACAAAGGAATCTCTTATACCAACCAAAATTCAATGTTGTACGTGTTCTCCCTGGACAAATTAGTTTAAGTTTCTGAGGTAAGGAAATAAGTATTTAGTTCCAAGGAAAAATAACAAGTATCTTTTCTCGTTAAAATTGTCGAAGGAATGGTTGTCTGGAAGTTTAAGGGACACGGAACCTACAAGATATAGAATGACTATACTACGTAGAAGCGATTGCGTCTCGGAAAACACAATGCATTTGTCTCAATTTGATGCAATTTTCGTGATGTGAATTTGTTGTTATGTGTTTGAATTTATTGGTGTTAAATTCATACATCAATTCTCGTTGATTAGTTAAGAAGTTATTTGTTTATATACATGCGTCTTGAACGTTATATGACTTGTTTCTTCTCAGAATTTAATACAATTTTTCCTTGATAAGGATCTTGAGAGAATTGTTCAAATTTTTTATATGTAATGCGATTCATGTAGGCAATGAACTGATATTGATATGTCTGGGAAACTTTTGCAACTGAATTGTTAGTTAGCAAATATTCTCGCAAAGACATGAAATGAATTTCGTTATTTCATTTATATTATTAAGATGAGAATTCGTTTAGCCGAAAATCGATGGTGTTAGCATCAAGAATGACATTTAATCTAGTTAGTGATTTATAGTCCACAGTAGGGCGTAATAGTTTATTATGCGGGTTAAAACATATTATAGATCATTTATGAATGTTAGGAAGATATATTCATCTTCGGTTGTAGGCTTTGTATCATGCTGCGAACTGACCCATATTAGCCTTATTTTCTGTTACGTTAATATATGACAATATATGAGGTAGGTGACAAGTAATGGTGCTGGAGACAGTAACGAATTTTTCGACTCAAACCTCTCTCCAACGTTTAATTTAGAGTGACCGACAAGAAGACAGGTTATGCAAGTATGCTAGACATGCTAAGTAACTGAGTTCAGATCACTCACACTTTTGCATGATGAAACTTGTTTTATCGGTGTAAACAGAACTTTTAACTACATTTGTTATAAACTTGGCAACAATTTCTCAGCTAAGTGTATCCTTTAAATGTCATGTCGAATTTTATTGACGTCGTATAATTGATTAAACTTAAATTCTGTATCCCTGTTGTTCTATTCCACGTCTCTTTGCAGATCTCCCTCTATTTCATCTCTAAATTTCATATTTTATTATATAAGTTACTGCGTCGGGGCAATAATGCCGTGGTTAATCATCATATGGATGACGTCAGCAAAACGCACAATGAGAACGAAAGCATCACATAACAATCTATAAATATACAAAGAACGAAGTATGTAGGCAAAAGGTTAAGGTTCTATATTTATGTTTTGGCTTACATTAGAATTGAAAAGATGATTATTATAGTCGATACCCTGTAGTACAATTAAACTCTTGTCCATGCATCACTTCATCAAACACATCTTACCTCAGAGTTATGATTTGGAGGTACAATAGATAGTGAAACGCAAAATCTGAAATATTGATAATCTCACACAGATCCCCCTAGCTATTACAAATGCGACTTCCAGGTTCATGTACAAAAATGTCTAAAACTAAAACTTTCTCAATCTATCTAGTTTAGATAGAGTCGTTAATTTATCGGCTATACTCGGTAATAACTCCAGTCCAACCACAAAGGACACAGACCCTATTCTGCACCGCTCCTTACACCTGCAGATCAGGATCTATGCTGTTTGTTATACGGATTACTCAGACAGTATAGGCGTCTATGCAGTTTGCTGTTGCTTATAAGAGAATAGAGAAAGCAGTAGTAATTAATCAGTAAACATGTCTTTGTAATTTGACAACTGGCTGAGAGATATTGTTTATAAACTGTAATGAGGCTCATTAAATAAGCTGCCTAGTAGGTCATTAAAAGTTAGGTAAGTAACAAAAAAATTCAGCTGTAGCGTGAATAGTTCCTGGATGACCTTAGGCTCTTTCGTCATTCACATATAGCCTGTAGGTCATACTTTTAAACTAATCAAACAAAATAGATGAATTCCTTTTTGATTCTAATGCTTTATAATATTTAATAAAATACCCACTTTATCGTGTTTTCACCTGATGACGGCATTATGTTTCTAATTTCACATGGATTTAATCTTGGTTTTTTTCAGCTAATTCTTCCGCTACATGGTGATACCACCTGACAATTCTGGACTTGGGAATATGCATTTTTCTCCAGGTGAAATTGAAAACTTTTCAATGTTCATTTTTCGTGTTTTCTTATGGAAAATCTGATTTTAACTAGAGCTGATTAGTAAAATAATTTTCGTATCTAATTTTTTTATATTATGTACGTTCGCTAAAATTATTTTATTACTGATTAATCAAGATATTTCAAAGTCAGACATATAATTAAGAACTTTGTTGTTGTTGTTGTTCTTAACGCCATTTTTCGTCACACGATAGGCTATTTATGGCGGCCAGCATTAATGGTGGAGGAAGAAACCAGGAAATCTGCGGAAAGAACCACCGACCCATGAGAAGCTACTGGCAAGCTTTTTCACATATACACATTCGCCGAATCCTAGACTCGAACACACGCAGACAGAGGTGAGATGGCAGTGATCTGTAACGGACAGCGCTTTAGACCACTCGGCCACTAGGAGCCCCTATAATTAAGAAAGCCATATTCCTTTTTATATAGGTTATATTAACCACAACTGCTGGTTTGGATATCTCCAAGCGATAGATAGATAGATAGATAGATAGATAGATAGATAGATAGATAGATAGATAGATAGATAGATAGATAGATAGATAGATAGATAGATAGATAGATAGATAGATAGATAGATAGATAGATAGATACATACATACATACATACATACATACATACATACATACATACATACATACATACATACATACATACATACATACATACATACATACATACATACATACATACATACATACATACATACATACATACATACATACATACATACATACATACATACATACATACATACATACACACGTCTGCAGTTGCTAAAGCATTCCTGTCTCGTCGATAGATCATCAACTGTATGAAAATTCTTTGTTTGAGCTCTTTCACATGACAACAAAACTTTCATTGTAATGTCGAGTCAACGTAGTAAATAAATTACCATAATACGCACTTTAAAATATAAATGACCTTTTCACAAAACTCAGCAATAGTGAACAATTCTTGTTAACTTGTTGTAGATTGCTAAAAGTTATTTCGAAAAAGTTTTACGTTTGTATGAATTATAAAGTCGATTATATTGCATATAGTGATGTGTGGCTATGATACCTTGACCATCCTGAGACCTATAAAACTATACTGATGTGGAGTTCAGATCACAATACAAAATCATTTAACTTTCGAAATGCGAGATATTAAAGTGAAAATATGGGCTGAAAGTTCTTTATTTCACAATTCTGAGTTTCGATCTGGACGATACCAAGCATATCCCAATTAACAATGTATTTATTTATCCATCTGTATGTACCATTCCGGTGGCCTAGTGGTTAGAGCGTCGACATCGTTTGTGGATGGTCGCGGGTTCGAATCCCGGTTGAGTCATACCAAAGACTTTTAAAAAATGGTCCTAACAGCTTCCTCGCTTGGCGTTCAGCATTAAATAGTTAATGTTAGGACTGGTCTATCTGGTGTCAGGATAATACGACTGGATGGGATATTAAGCGATATGTCTGCCACATGATGCCTAAGTGCTAGACTACAAACTGTCACAGACATTGTAGTGATATGACTGAAAAATTGTTAAAGCTACGTTAAAAATCTAAATCATGCACACAAATCTGTGTGTCTGTCTAAAGCTGCGTACATATATTATCAACTTTAACTCAAAAGCATTATAGATTTCTCGTCACTATGCAGTGAGAACCTAGAACATTGCATCAAATAAATTACACCAATTGACAGAAAAATTCAAGAAGGACTAGGATGAGAAGAATAAAAAGAAAATATATCCTGTATAGTATATATTAGTGAATATCATTCATCGTCGTCATCATCAATGTGATGTGCAGAATTTATCAATATTCTCCTTTCCTAAAGCAAACAGATTATGTGAGATGAATATGGATTTGTACAAATGTAATACTACATACAATATTTATAAACAATATCATTTTAAAGGTTAGTATACGGCTACAAGAAAGGACCAATGACAGCACGAGGGCAAAAACTAAGTTCGCCTCGTCTCCCTCTTCGTTTCCTTACCAAACCCCTCTCAGAGACAGTGAAAGGGACTGCAATCAATTGGTCCATAATTGCAGTTTCCACGTAATTGAAACAATTCTTCTTTTTTTAGAACTTGCAGGATTACAGAATTGCTGCGGAGGAGAAAAAAATTACTCGAGAAAGATATAAAAGTTTCATTGTTTTATCTTACAAGCAGAAAGATTTATGCTTACTTAAATCGGTCAGTTTACAAAAAAACAAAAAAACAAAAGACAATTACATGAAATCAATTTTTTCATTACTTTTGTATACCTAGTTAACATAATTCTAACTATGATGTTATGCATCCCAATGTTTGCGAAATAATTGGAATTGATCTGTAATTTAGCACGAAGACAAGCTTCTAACCCAAATGCATCCTATTGTGTGCAATGGCGCATGAAAGTTAATCTAATTATTCCAGCAGCTTCGGTATAGAGTTTCAAGATATCGATTATCATAAAGAAAGAAAATATGACACATTAAATTCCAGGTAAATAGTTGTTTCAACTTATTATCAGTCCCTCTTCAATACGGCAATGGTTTAAAGGTTGTATGTACTGCCGCTGCACTGTAGGACTGCAGTTATGTATCAGTTAAACATTCAACAACAGCGCATACTTACTGTGGCAGCATTGACCGTACGCCAGTGTCAAAGTTACCAATGTGCCTTACGGATTTTGTATCACTGCTTTATAACAAAAATGGATGTTTAAACGGTTTTGAATATTATTACAAGGTAAATGTTCTTTATTGGTAAACAGTACATCAGTACATACACTCAAACTACTCCCCGTGGACCTATACACATTTCTCCCATCGGATTAGTCAATTAATTAATATTACATTTTAGTTTCCTATAGTAGTATTACGACACTGGTATTAAACAAAGTAACATAAATGAAGAACAAAAACCACAATTTACTAATAGCAGAAAGAGAAACCTTGAAGGAACTTAAAGTATTGCGAATTAAATTATAAAATAATCTAACATGTCGTATCAGCAGAAATAAAGAATGAAGTTCTAATTAAATTGCAGTGGTATTCAAAAGAAGCTCCAGAGCTGAAGCCGTTGTTGTGACTGTAGTCTTGAATGTACTAATGTACCAATTGCTTGACGCGTGATGATGTACTTACAGTGTTCCAATCAATCATAAAAATATAATCCTCAATGTCCTTGTCTGAATTCGTTATAATTACAAATTAAAATTTCAAGTCAATATTAACTAAGAGCACTTTCTATTTACATTTTATAAATAATTTGAATAAATAAAATCCCACCAAATGATATACTGAAAACAACAATACGAATAATTTCCGCTTCTGGTGTTATTGAGGAGTCAGTGGTTCTTTACATGTTAAATGAGGCTATATATAAAAAAAAAAACACGAAAAAGAAGATTCATGGTATAAGACAAGATGATTGATAGAACAATCTAAGTTATAATGAGACAAGGTATGTTGCCAAATTTCTAATAAAGAGCATGGTAAACGTAATATCTTTGACTCAGACAAAGATAACTATTATTTGACCGAAACTCATAGGGAACATGTTAGCTATTTATTAATTGTTTAACAAAATATAATCAAAATTAGTGTCTCTACGCCGGAACAGCAAGAACTTGATTTTTGAAAAGGTCAAATCCAAAAAATACAATCATACATAATTATGGAGAAGAACCAATATATACAGGTTAAATATACATAACCGTATGTTGTTCGTCCACTGGAAAAATAAACCTCTTAACTGCCTGGTGACATTTAAATCACCTGCCTCTCGGTTAAGCTTTGATAACAGGATTCAGCAAAACAAAATCACTCGGAGCTAAATCTGGGATAGAGACCATCTCATCTAACAATTAAACCTCTACACTATGGATTTTATATGATAAGGACAGCTTTTGCGATGTTATTATGTCGTACTAAGCTTTATAAATACTCTGTAATTTGCCGTATAATAAGTATTTTTGTTTCTCGTAAAGATGATATTTCGTGACGAAATGACTTTACTCTTCGAACATACCTTTTACAGCATTTACAGATAATATGTCCCGAGGGGGCGAGTGGTCGATAGCGTTGTCCGTTACGGATCACTGCCATCTCACCTCCGTCTGCGTGGGTTAGAGTATAAGATTCGGTCAATGCGGCTATGTGAGAAATCTTGCCAGTAGCTTTTGGTGGGTCGATGGTTCTTTCCGGGAATGTCCCGGTTTCTGCCTCCACAATTAATACTGGCCGCCATGTATAGCCTATCGTGTGCTGAAAAATGGCGTTGAGCCCCACAACAACAACAAATAATATGTTTCTCTTGTTTTATTCCGGCCACTTCAACGTGTAAACAAGGTTGTTGTTGTTGGTGTTGGGCTTAACGCCAGTTTTCAAAACACGATACATGGCGGCAGGTATTAATAGTGGAGGAAAAAAACAGGAAATACTCATAAAGAACCACCGACCCACGAGAAGCTACCGGCAATCTATCTCACATATCCACATTTAAACAAGGATGTATGTTTTGATCTATGACGGGCTTCGGGGACATTTTTTATTGATGGTAGTCTGATATGGTACCATTTCATACTGTTGTTTATCAACTTTGTGATAGTTTAGGTTTTCATTATTGCGTACTTCTACTTTTTAGATTATATAGTTATCCTTAAATTTCTTTTGCGTAAAATATGCACAAATTATGTTCTGCTCCACCATCCCTGTATATATGCTACATAGCAATCAAATACCTAATATTTCCCACTTATGTGGTGCATTTTCCAAATGATGCCAATATGTATTAGACGCATGTTTGTGTTAATACGCATTTTGAAAACTCGACTTTGATCTAGACATTGGTGGTATTTCTACTACAAATTTAAGTATGAAATTGCCCTAATGGTTCACTTTCTGTTATGTCCTACTTTAGCAGTTTTCTAATTGTTTAGCCCCTTCACCCACATGTTTGAGTCGTGTTGAATGATTTGTTGAACAACTGTGTCAATGACTCAATGGAAGACATTTGATCTTGGACGGATTTCTGAAAACGTTCTAATTAGTCATTATATTCTAATAATGCTTCTACCTTTGTGTTAGAAAAACTGAATTTGATTTGAAATGATTATACATCCTAAATAGGTACAGTCTCTTGTAAACTAAATTAATGAATCGGAATAATAAATTTAAAGGTCGAAGATCTATCTTTTTGATAATCATAATGCTCGTCGACACTTATGTTCCATTCCTTGAATAATCTGCTGGATTCATTCAAATAATTGTGCAAGCATTTAGCAGTTTTTAACATAAGTAAGAAAGCAACAGCCCATAACAAGTTGGGCAACTGCTTTATTTAGCTTTGTTGGTTTACATTTATTGCGACTGAATGGTCTTAAACTGAGAAATAGAATTGAGCGAAAACCAACATATATTGTCAAAGCAGGGATTCGTAATTTTTAGATAAACAAAATAATGAAGCCTTTACTTGACCATTCAAGAACATTACAAGTTCTGAACAAATTAATTCGGTTACAAAATGTATTATTAGAATGTGGTAAACATCAGGTAGGCTATGTATTTGCATGGGTAAATTCCGACAACTACGACCTGGACCTTAATAAATAAGTTTACTTCTATTGCCAATGATCCTTAAATTTAACCCACACTCACAGAGAAAATATTACCTAAGGATAACCTCTTCAAAATATTCAAAACGTCATCAGCGTCTCTAGTAAGGAACACAGTAAACTTGACTTTTGAATAACATCAAGTCTAAAATACAATTAAAGCTTATAAAGAATAGAAAATTAACAAATGCAAACTAAATATTCATAACACGTGAATATGACAGAGTATAGTTATTTGCAAAGATACTAAACAGGTTAGACCTAAAATTATCTCCGTTTCACTTCTGTAAAATTTTCGAACGTTCTGTAAAATGCACTTTTAGGTTTACGTTATTGGTATATATTGCAAATGGCATGTACAATATTATAAAATCTACCATTAAAAGCTCTGAAGCAATCAATTCTTCGCTCTGTCTTTATCAAACGCTTGATGGAAGGCTATGAAAACCCGGTAATAAGTTTATAATTAAGAGTGTGTGTTTGTGTGTGTGTATATGTATATATATATATATATATATATATATATATATATATATATATATATATATATATATATATATATTTATATATATATATATATATATATATATATTTATTTATTTATTTATTTATTTGTACAGACATCTAATTCAATTCCCATAGACAGTAGTATTATTATCTGTCCAACGTGCTATACATTTGTTGTTGGATCAGCTAATTACGGTTATGAATAATCTATCTCAGGAAAACATTTA